AATACACACAAGCACCCCTGAGCTGATCCAACAGATCATCAATCCGAGGAAGGGGATACTTGTTCTTGATTGTCACCTTGTTCAACTGCCTGTAGTCAGTGCACAATCGCATTGTCCCATCCTTCTTCTTCACAAAGATAACCGGTGCTCCCCAAGGAGACACACTCGGTCTAATGAAATCTTTCGCCGAAAGATGCTCAATATGCTTCTTAAGCTCAGCCAACTCCGGTGGTGACATCCGATAAGGAGCTAAAGAAATCGGCCCCACACCGGGCAACAAGTCGATGGAGAACTCTATCTCCCGCTGCGGTGGAAACTCAGGGATCTCCTCAGGAAACACCTCTAAGAACTCCCCCACCACAGGAATGCCAGTGATATCCTCCTGTATCCCACTCACCAAACCACCCAACATGACATAACCCAATGCCCCTGCTCGCAACGCTCTCCTGGCCTGCAGCAGTGAAATGTATGGCGAGGAACTAGCTGTGGAATCACACGGAGACATCACCACGTGCTTTGCATAACAGTCAATCAATGCACAGTTTCTAGACAACCAATCCATGCCCAGAATAATCTCAAGGTTGGCCATCGGCAATCCTATCAGATCTACCGAGAACTCACGGCCATCGGCAATCCTATCAGATCTACCGAGAACTCACGGCCATCGGCAATCCTATCAGATCTACCGAGAACTCACGGCCATCCCACTGAAACGCTACATCGCGATGTACAGTGGTAGAATCACAAATATCTCCGGTGGCGGTAGTCACCCGCAATGGTGGAGAAAGCACAGCACTGGGCAACTCAAGCCCCAAAGCAATCGGGGTAGCAACAAACGAATGAGTAGCCCCGGAATCAAAGATAGCATCAACAAAAGAATCACCAATAGACACAGTACCTCTGACAAGGTTCGGAGCGCGGTCCGACTGCTGCCTATCTAGTGTATACACTCTCCCAACAGAAGGTGGCACTGCAGGTGCCGAAGAAGATTCCATCAGAACCATCTGCAAAGGAACTGCCTGAAAAGTTGCAGCTCTCACCCGACGGACAATCTCTAGAGAAGTGGCCCTCCTTTCCACACTTGAAGCACAGCAACTGCCCCGTAGCACAGCGTCCCACATGCTCCTTCCCACATCCCGAACATCTCGGAGTGGTAGGAGGCCTAGCAGAACTTCCCTGATGTGAAACAACTCTCTTGAACTGACCAGGCGCCTGCCTAGTCGCTAACTGCTTTCCCTTGCCCTTATTAGAAAACCTCTTGTCCTTCCAAGAAGTAGGAGCAGGAGTGGAACCACCTGTTCCCTTGCTCTCCTCAACCTTGGCCCTCTTGGCCTTGCTTGCCACGCAAACATCCTCGATGTCTTTACACTGCTGAACCAGTGTACCAAAGTCCCTCGAAGCAGCACTAGAAAGATGCTCAACAATCACCTCACTAAGTCCCCTACGGAACTTAGCTGCCAGAAACAACGGAGTAGGAGAAACCATCCGGAAGTGTGCAAACTTCACTAGCTCATTAAACTTAGCCAGGTACTCATCAACAGACATCGAGCCCTGTACCAAACGATCAAACTCTCCCTGCTTCCTCTCCTGCGCATCATAGGGAAAGTATCGGCCCAGAAAGCACTCCTCAAAGAATGGCCACGTCATGACATGACCCTGCCGCTCAAAAGCACGAGAGGTGTGCGTCCACCACTCATGGGCATCGCCCTCCAGCATATAAGTCGAGAACATCAGCTTCTGTGGGTCTGTACACTGCATAACCCGAAAAATCTTGTCCAGCGACTCTAGCCATCTCGCAGCAGCAATAGGATCCAAAGACCCCTCAAACATAGGTGGCTTATGCTTCCTGAAAGCATTCAGCCGGCGATCGATCACATCACGATCCTCAGCAATCCCCACAAGGGGCTCCCCCGTCTCAGCGGCATGAGTAGCACTGCCGATGTGACTATGGCTCTCCTCCTGAACACTAGGTGGAGGCGGCGGCGGCGGTGGCGGTGGTGCTGGAGCCTGGCCAATAGCAGGACCAGCTCTCATCTCCTCTAACATGACTCTCATCATCGTCATGTTCGCCATCCTGTTCGCCTCGAGGACTTCCTCAGTGGTCCTCCGGTTCGCTTCACGAACCTCAGTTGCGGCTATCCGGTTCGCCTCGCGAACATCATCCATCATTGCCGCGTTGACCAATCTAGTGGCCTCCTGATCGGCTAACCTAGCCGCTTGCATCTCAGCCAATGCAGTCAGGATAGGATCGGGTTGATCCTCAGAAGTCTCTCGTGTTCTCCCGGACCTTACCATGACTCTGCACAAGTTACACAAATTATGAGTTGATCAGGCCCACGCAATGTGATCACATATACAACATCATAATAAAATTCGACGGAGTAAACACAAAGACAGACACAACCAAACAACCTAGCAATTGCAATATATACAAGCTTTTCCCTCGAACCATTGCTCTGATACCATAAATGTAACACCCCGTATATATCCGGCAATGTTATCATAATATCGTATTAAGCTGCGCTTAATTAAAAATGCGGAATTACTTTTTCTTCTCAATTATGATGCCATTAACATTACCAACTTGCTTAATAATCAATTAATAAAACATCGCCTGTATGTAATTGCAATAAAACAGCTAACTGAAATACCTCATAACATAGATAATATAAGTGTGGCTCTAGTCACGGAATTACAACAACGTAGATCGGACCATCTAACAGTTTATACAACTCCAATCTAAAAGTACTAACAGAAAGTGTCATGGACAATCCCCATGCTCACTCAAATAAGGCAACATGCCCAACATCAGTCTCAACAACAACATATCATAAATAGCGAAAAACATAAACAACATCCAAATCCAGTCATGCTAACATAAAGCAGTAAAACATAATCAGCTAAGCTCCGGCCTCCTGCCGCCTGAGGCATCAATACCCATACTACCTAATCCTGAAATAAGCATTCCCCAAATGTGGGGTAAGATCTCTAATCTAGAAATCTCAGTAAGTCAGTGAGTCCTCAAGGATCTTCCACCCCAAGCTCACTTACATGTGCAATATAAGTTCAAAAGCAGTTTATCATTTATCATTTATCATTTCTAAAACAATGCAATGCAGCAGATAATCATGCCATGTGTGTCAATACTAATCTACTGGCCAGAGACAGTGCAGGTATACGTCTATCACCTACACACCGTGCAAGTACCACTTGCATTCATCCCGGTACACCGTCTTGTATGGTGCTACATACTCAGGCTTCCCGTCAAGATGAAACAACACATGCATATTAAAAGCCATTACATGTAAAGTTCAATCAACATATCAAATATCCAAAAGCATGTACACAGCATGCATAAACCATACCCCCATGGGACATGGTGGAACCACAACATGGCTAAACCGAGGACACGAAAGCTTACCTTGCAAGCTAACTCCAAAAGCCAAGAGTCCACAGCTCAAAGTCCAAACACAGCAGATTCATAATCTGTTATGGACCAATACTATATCAATAATATGTACCACATGCATACAAATTAAAGACAACGCCTTTTCATTATGCTTTATGTCTTAAGGCTTCTCACCAAGCCATAAGCCCTTAATCACTTGATTCTGACTTAGTTTAATTAAAACAGAAGTTCAACTTCACCAATCTAGGGTCCACAAACCCCCAATAGCCTACTGTCCTCACAGAACAACTACTGTTCTTCGAAATCCCAGAATATCCTGATATTCCTCGGGACCATATCCGGATATCACATATCCGGATATCTCGCTGGCAATATCCCGATATCACATATCCGGATATCCAGAATCCAATATCCGGATATCCAATATCCGGATATCCAAATCCCATATCCGGATATCACATATCCGGATATTCATCGGGCAGATATCCGGATATTTCACGACAGAATGAAGAAACTGCATTTCATGAAGATATCCATCACGGTTGGGTTTTTAACGATTTTAAGCACCTAAACATGCATTTCTAGGTGTGTTCAACATTACCCAACAACAAGCAATCATCTTTTAGCCTTTAGATGCATCAAGGTACCATTTTTACGTTCAAAGACTCAAGACCAAAGGTGACAAGGCTTACCAAAGCTCAACCAGCCAACAAGAGGTGCTCTTGGAGCTCAAAAGGTCACTCCAAGGTTCTGTCTCTCTCTGCACACGAAAATGGTATACCAAGGTGGTCCTTTTACTCAACAAGAAAGCTCCTTTAAGCCTCAAAACCCAATGAGCAAGGAGACACTCCACCCAAACCCCAACTCAGAACACAAACAGCCACAAACAGTGGCCAAACCTCAAGCACAACACTCTCACACCCTCTCAAGATGTTTCCCAAGTGTTTCCGAAGTGAAAGAATGAAGAAAAATCAAGATAGATCAAGACTTGGTTCAAGAACGGAAGGAAAGGCCAATAGAGCAGTCACCAAGAAGCTGGTCAGCTCCCTCTCACGTTGGTTTTCTGTTTTATAGGGTTTTGTGCCCTTACAAAGGGTATTTATAGCCCAAACGCACTTAAACACACAGTATTAACTTTAATTGCTACGCTTAGCATTTTAATCCCAAACTTTGGATTATGAAACTACATAATTTTCTAAGATTTATCATATTTTTCTTATAATTTTCTGAGCACTTTTCTGGTACGCGCTTTTCCAAGCCAGTACCGGTTTCTAGCACCAGTTCTCATTATCTGGACTTGAAACTCGTTTTACAAGTCCTACATATTATTCTAGTAATTTTCATGCACTTATTATAATTTTCTGGGATAATTTTTCGGCACGCATTTATACCGACTAGCAGAACCGGTATCTGCACTTTTTTTTCTTCCGAAAAGCGACTTTCAGCATTATTACTCACTTACTATAATTATTAAAGCCTCATAATAATTATTAGGGTCAATTATGGAATCATTTCCTAATTTTGCATAATTTATTAATTAAATTCCTTAATTAACGGTGTGGGTTCTTACAATTGTCTTAGTTGGCTTTACTTAAGTGATCCTCAGCTTCTTCATCATGGACAACGACATTACGTTGATGCTCGCACCGAGATCACATAGAACATTGTCCACTTTCACATTGCCTATCTTGCATGGAATGCTGAAACTTCTTGGATATTTAAGCTTTGGAGGAAACTTTTTCTGGATAACGACACTGCATTCCTCTGTAAGAGTCACCGTCTCAATTTCTTGCAGCTTACGCTTTCTTGATAAAAGATCTTTCATGAACTTAGCGTAATTTGGCATGTTCTCCAAGGCTTCAGCAAACGAGATATTGATTTGCAGCTTCTTGAAAATATCAAGGAACCTGAAGTACTGTTGCTTTTGAATTTCTTGTCTGAGCCTCTGTGGATATGGAATTCTTGCATAAGGTGAGAGCTCCAATGGCTTTTCTTGCTTTTTTTGAGCTTTCTTTTTCTCCCACTTGAACTGTTTCCTTTCAACTTTTTCAGGAGTGCCATTTTCAAATTCAATTGTATCATTTGCTTTTTCTTTCTTATCTTCTTCAACAATAGGTTCCTTATCACTCTTCTTTTCTTCAAAATACTTCTCTATAGGTTGAATGACTTTCCCACTCATAGTAGTAATTGCATTGTAGTGCTCTCTTGGGTTGACTATAGTATCACCCAAAAAAGTGCCTTGAGCTTTCTCAAAAATTTACCTAGATTGTTGCCCAATCTGAGTTTCAAGGTTTCGTATATGTGCCTCTTGATTTCTCATTGTAGCTTCCTGATTCTTGAATACTGCTCGGGTTTCTTGCATGAAAGAAGTTGTTTCACTTCTGAAAGTTTCTGAACCTTGGATGTAATCATTAGTTGTTTTCGAGAGTTGCATCGGTGTTTTTTCCAACTCAGAAGGGCTACCTTGTGAAGGTGGTTGTGGTTGCATTGGAATAGGTGGATTGAGCTGATGCTGGGTTAATTTATAATTGAAACCAAGGTGATTTTTCCATCTTGGGTTATAGCTATCACCATAAGGATTGCTCTGGTTCCTCTGAGGATTCCCTAATTTCTCTGATCGTACCATATTCCATTAACTTGAGTTGCTTCAGTTCCTCCAAGAGCTCCACAATTACCGCTCTTATGTTCCCCTCCACAATATTCACAAACTGGTGGAGGTGGCTGTGTCTGAACTGCAGATGCTTGAAACTTTTCAAACATGGTCGTGAGAGATGCCAATTGTTGAGACATCGCCTTCTGTGTAGCCAACATATCATCATTGCTTTCCAGTTGATATATTCCTTTCTTTTGTGGTGTCAGAACACTTTCATTCTCTAAAGAAGCCATAGATTCAAATAACTCCAATGCTTGAGTGGGAGTTTTCTGTCTTAATGACCCTCCTGCAGCAACATTGATGACCATCCTGGAAGCAGGTGTTATTCCATTGAAGAATATCCGTACCTTTGGTCCAGGTTGCAATTCATACTGAGGTCATCTTCTTTGCAAATCTTTGAATCTTCTCCATACAGAACAAAGAGACTCCCATTCCTGTTGGGTGAAATTTGAAATTTCATTTACCAACTGGTTATACTTGGTGATAGGGAAGAAATTAGCCAAGAATTTAGCGGCCAAATCATCCCATGAATTAATGCTGCCAGTAGGTTGTTGATACAGCCACTTAAGTGCTTGCTCCTTCAAAGAGAATTAGAACAATCTCAGACGGATGGCACCATCTGCTACCCCGTTCATCTTCACTGTATCACATATCAAAAGAAACTTATCAAGATGAAGATGAGGGTCTTTTTCGTCATCACCAGCAAACTGGTTTTGTTGAACTACAGAGAGTAGAGCTGACTTGATTTCAAAGTTGTTTGCAACAACATTCGATCTGATGATGCTTGAGGTGTTTCTTGGCATGGTTGGAGTGAGGAACGCATCCATCAGCTCCTCTGGTGGATTGTTGTTGTTATTGTTTGCCATTATTTCTTCCTCTCGTATCACTGAGCTTGATGCTTCTTTTTCTTGTTGCTTTCTTTCTTTAGCAATCTTTCTGTTTCTTTTTGCGATTTTCTCTATCTCCGGGTTGAAATGCAAGGAGTCGGTGTCAACGGTACCTCGCATAAATCAGAAAATAGATTAATAAAATAAAAACTGAAATTAAAAAACTGAAATTAAATAGCATAAAATAAAGTCCAATCTAAAGAATCTATAGTTACTATTTAAAAATATTTAAACTAATTACTAGCAAGAATAAAAACAAGAAAATAAATATTTGAATTAACTGATAGAAATTAAACGTAGCTAGGGTTTCGATTATTTAATTTGTAACTATACTTTTTTTAAACAGACAAAACATTTTATGGTTGAGAAGAAAAATACTTTTTTTTATAATTTTATATTTTTTTAAAATAGTTATACACATATATTTAAAATGTTTATGTTAAATATTTTAAAAAAAATACTTGACCGAAATTCTTTTGTCTTTTTGTATTATATTTTTGATTTTTTTTAAAAAAAAACATTCTAGAATATTCACTTTTTTTAAGGCTGTTGGTTTCAAGGCTAATTATGATAAATTTAATTAGAAGATAAAAAGTTTCATATGCCTATATTATATTTTGGAATTGAAGAGCCACCAATTTCTCTTCTAGTTCATATTCTCAATATGAGCATGCAAAACAAAGCTTTCCAATGCATAATTACATTGAATTAGGCTAGGCACTTATACAATAGGCACAAACAAAATTTAAAAAAAGTACAAGGATAAATTAATAGTGATAATTAAAGCAAAAAAATTCCTAAAAGAAAAATTGCTTTGAAACTACGTTGTTGGGTTGCACTGGTCTAACATCTAGCACACTTCGAACATTCTTTGAAGAAATAAAAGGTGGTTTTATGAGGGTCAAAGTAGTATCATCCCTATCCAACTCATCACTGCCACCATCACGGTAAGCGTATCTATCAAGAAAAGACATAAATTAAAGAACAACAAAGACAATACGAAATAAATTATATATGGACATGAAGAATAGAAGGGAAAGCTCATTTTGCTCTTGCAGACATTAAAGAGAGAAAATAGAAGGACTTTAAGATATAAGAGAAATTTTTACCATGTTGAATTTTGAGATGGTGCCTAAAGAGCTGTTAGTACATAGGTGTCCTAGAGACAATCTGAGAGTCAGATGGACCCATGTACTTCTTTATTTGTTATGAATAAATTTTATGAATAAAAGCATTATTTATCTTGTTTCATATTGCATGTCTCAAATATTGAATATGAGTAACTGGATAAAGCCCTTGGAATAGAACGGGTGTCACATTGAGGATTTGTGATAGGGATCACGATCATAAGGGCTCAATAACACCACACGTCCATTGCCAGAAATATGTTGCTAGTCTAAAGATACCGATAATGGGCATTAGTGATCTCGGGTAAGACTAGCACGACTCAGCTACTTGCATGGAGATGCAAGGTAGAGTCCTCGTGAGCTACAAACATGGCGATGTCTTAGATGACTCGTGGATGGACCTATTGGAGAATAGCTCGCACTGAACTGACCCACAAAGAGACACTACAAGGAAATCTCACAGATAGTATCAATAGGTAATGTCACTTATTATTTGGGTGTGTCTTTCCTTAGACCTGAAGTTGTCATATAGACCTGTGCTCTGGAAGACTTGCTTTGATTGTATATCTCTTCTGCTTGAAACATGGAGACTCGTAGGTATACTCTTGGCATGCCCTCAGGACTCGGGGCTAGTGTGACAAGCTAAAGAAATTCGTCAATCTCTGTGAGAGATTAGGTTATCCATAGACCGGTGAAACCGGGATGACATTACGGGACTCAGGAATCTATGCATAGTAAAGGAGTCATGAGATGGCTCACTCTTTAGAGTTCGTAAATGAAGATTTCCTCTTTCGGCAAAAGCTAACCCTAGACAGCAGGGGTTGATAGGTTTTCCTTGACCTAGGTCAATGGGACGGATAACCGGGACGAAAGGACAATTTATACGGTAACCAAATAGGTATAACAGGTTGATCATTCAATGAACTCAACTAGCTCTGGGACAACAAAGCATTGCTAGTGCTCTGTGTTGTCATTAGATGGATTGGGCCTAATGGGCCCAAGCCCATTTATGTCAGTGGCTATGTTGGGCCTGATGGGTCACACGCAAACACCTTGAGTTGTCTTGAATTCTAGCATATGTGATTTGAGCCCAATAAGGCATAATGGCTTAAGTTGGAAAAGCCAACATATTGGGCCAAGAGAGAATAGGTGGCATCATGGGTCAACTTGGACTTGATCCATGATGTAACCTAATTAATTGAAATGTTAAATTAATAAAATTAATTTGAATTCTAATTTTGAATTTTGAATTTGAAATTTGAATTTAAATATAATCATTAATTTAGATTTAATAAGGATGGAGAAAATAAAGGAAACCAATCAATTAGATGGATTGACCAAAATTAAGGAAACCAATTAATTAAATTAATTGGCTGAAATTGGGGAAACAAAGCAATTGGATTGATTGACCAAAAATAAGGAAACCAATTAATTAAATTAGTTGGCTAAAATTGGGGAAACAAATAAATTGGATTGATTGACCAAAATTAAGGAAATCAATTAATTAAATTAATTGGCTGAAATATGAAAAACTAATCAATTGGATTGATTGGATAAAATTAAGGAAATTGTCCAATAAGATTGAGATTTGATGAGGGTGGTGATTTGACCTAGTCTTAGGTTAATGAGGCGCAACATATATATATATATATATATAGATATATATATATAGCACATCTTCTTCCTTAGTTTCGTAACTTTTCTTCTCTAATTTTCTCCATTGAAACCCTAGCCAACATATATCATTTTAATCTTCTTTAACATTGTTCTTATTCATCTTTTTATCTAACGAATTCAGTGGCAAGATGGGGAAGTACGTGGGAAAAATGATTGGTGATGTCGTTTTGTTATTTGTATTTATCACTTCTGAAGTTGGGAAGGAATTCCATGAACAGTATCCGTTCCTCGTAGGCTTTGTGTTCGCGGCCGTTTACTTACACTACCTGATCTTGATTCTGTCGGTGTATTTGAGAAAAGAGGACATGCATCCGATTTTTTCATTTTTGATTTTAGTGTTTGGAATTACAATCACCACTCTTCTTTACGTACTGATTTCCCCAGTTATTGGGGTCATAGTACCTTTAATGTTGATGGTGGAGAAGCATGGATTGGGCGATGTTATCCGATTCTCCGTCCCACTACTACTCAGCAGCTGCCTTATTAAATTTACAGGGTCATCTTTATTTGGATATTATGATTCTGTAATGGAATTGGATAGAACTATTTCTGAATTGTGTAGTATGCACCTATTTATGCTTTTGTGCGTGTGTGTTTGCACTTGTCAACCTAAATATTGTCATTTTTATCATTTGATTCCCCATGGTCACGCAAAATGACAAGAGTTGTAAATAAGTAATAGTTACTATATAAGAATCATATAGTTCATATTTATCAAACAAGATGAACGGCTTCATTGTATCCGAATAATCAGTAAATTAGATGCCTGAATTTCGATGTTTGCTATTCCCTTTACTCTTAGCCTCAAGGACAATTGATTGTAAATAATGATTTT